TGTTAGAACTGAAATTACATGCCTCAAAATAAGAGCAAATGAAGCAGAACTGAATTTGTTCTTATCTACTGATGAGACACTAGCAACAGGAGGACATTTAGTCACAGGCATGTTCACTGCCATTGACAAGCCTGGATACACTGCCTTTATTTAAGAAGTGACAACTCTGGGAAGTTCAGCAAAATAGTAGTTTTCCACATTTTTTTAATTGAAGTATCTTCACCCTGATAGACTCTTTAGTATTCATATTCGGGGGACTCATTTTAGGGGTGTTAGTGTTGCTTATAATAAACTGCTGCCCAGGGAGTGAGCACCCAGCTGCTGATTGTTTTAAATATAGCTGAGGTTCATATACATCCAATCAGACCTTCACACACACACCCACACACACACACACACACACCCCTCTTAAACCTTTTATGGAGTGTTTTTCCTTGAGGTGGTCCTTAATGATTATTTTAATCTAGTTTCACCTGCCCAGCTATATTGGAACTATTGACACAGAATTAAGTGATCCAGACAAATCCCTTTATGAAAGCCTTATTTAAAAGTAGAGAGCAACTTTGCAAAATAAAATAAAATAACTAACAATTAATTTAATATAGATCTGTGATATGAAATAATTTAAATAGTTATATATAATATGTATTATAAATTTAATAAAACCTGTCAGGCTAATAAGATTTAATGTAATCACCTCCTTGAGTATATTTACTTCTCTGAAAGAAGGGAGAGCAGTACAATCACCCTCGCTGTATCAAATGGGGTCTCTGGGAAGCATTTGTATCTTCAGGAGGATAGCTGGATCAATTTCCCATTACTGGTTTCTGTGAAGGTGTGATATCACTGGTAATACAACACTAAGATGAAATGAGAATTTGTCAACTACATCTGCAACACCTAGTCTATGCAATGCTATTAAAGGCCATACTCTTATCTGTAGTACTACCTATACGTGAGAAAAAGAGAGAGAGAGAAAACAAAACAAGATAAATCTCTGGAGGAAAGAATCTTGCCTATTAACTACCGCAATAGAGATCATTGTGACAATGACATTGGAATGAAGAACAACAAAAAGAATAAATATGTCTGTAAATATAAAGCAACAATTGTCAAGCTTTAGTGTAAATTATGAATGCCTGAAAGGCTGGCCAGATGACATTTTGAGCTCCCTCACCAGGATTTCTGATTCAGTATGTCAGGGGTGGGAATTTACATTTCTAACAAGTTCCCAGGTGATGCTAATGCTACTGGCCTGGGGCCCACACTTTGAGAACCACTGAGAAATATTAGTTATATAAAACAATGATGTCTTGTGGGGCTTATAGTTTATATAGAGTTAAAATCCATGCATATATGGACAGTTATTTTGTGACAATGGTAGCCCTTCTGCTCAGCAGGAAAAACAGATAGTCTTTTCAGTAAATAGTCTCAGTAAATGGTGCTGAGTCAACTGGATATTCATATAGGAAAAAAAACAATGGTTGATCCCTTTCTTACACCGTGCACTAAACCCAGTCTCAAGTGATTGCAGGTCTAAATGTGAAAGGCAAAATCAGCAAAACTTCTAGAAGGTAGTATGAGAGAATATCTCGGTGACCTGTTTAAGATATTCTTGAACAGGACACAAAAAACACTATTCATAGGGGAAAATTTAAATTACATTAAAATTCTTACTTATGTTAATCAAAAGACACTATGAAGGGTAAAAATGCAAGCTACAGACTGGAAGAAGATAGTTGTAACATGTGGAGCTCATATTCCAAATCTATAAAGAACTCCAACAATAATAAACAATCCACTATAAAAATGGGCAAAATTCTTAAAATGACACTTCACAAAAAAGGTTATACAAATGGCCAAATATATAAAAACTAGCTAACCTCAGTAGTAATCATAGAAATGCATTTGAAAGTCACCATGCAATTCCCCTGTTCAAAATCAGATCATGGATGCAATTAAAATACAGTTAAAATGATGGACACTAGTAAGAACTTATGAGAACCGTGGCACAGTGAGAAACCTCATACACTGCTGGGGGGAAGGTGAAATGGCGCAATCATTTGGATATAAATAATTTGGCATTGTTTACTGAATTTGAAGATGCATATCCCACAAGACCCAGCAATTTCATTCCTAGGTATGTCCACGTGCACTAAGAGACTTGTACCAACATGTTTATACATCATGAGTCCTAAGAACCCCAAGTACAAAACAACCCAAATTTCCATCAACAGGAGAATCGATAAGTATGTTGTTTATAAAATGAAATTCCATGCATCATCACTGACTATGGATGAACTAACTACATGCAACAAGATAGGTGAATCATAATATTGAATGAAACACAAACATAATATTGAATGAAAGTGGCCAATCACAAAATTACATATGAATGATTAGATTTATTTAACTTAAAGAACAAAAAACTAATTTGTAGTGCATCGCTCCTTAGTTTGTAAATTTTTAAAGAAAAACTAGGAAGGGATTACTTTCAAAATGAAGACAGAATGGCTTTCTTTGTTGGGAAGAGAGGCCAGTAGTTATGAGGGGAGGAGATGGGGTTTTTTTGGGTACCTGCAATGTTCTGTTCCTTTACCTGGGTGGGTATTTACACAGGTGTTTGTTTTGTAATATATCATTGAACTGTACATCTTGTTTTTGCCCCTTTTCATCTGTATACTGTATTGAACAGCAAATGGGATAAAATGCTTTAAAGCATAAATCACTCACTCTATCCATTTTTAAATACCGCAGTAAAACAAATTGTCCTTTCAGGTTGCTTGAAAACAGCTGAAGTCCTTGATTTAATTATTTTCTGATTACAATTTAATTAATCTTTTTGTTTAACTAACTTATTTTCATATTCTAGTCTCTACATTACTTTGTATTAATTTGGCAAAGTGAGTTAATATTGAATGAGAATCAAATGCTCTGGTGTCATCTGGATAAACACCTTGTTTAATTCTTAGACGGCTTTACATATTTAATTTGATTTCAAATGTACAAGGGAGACAGAATAAAAGTAGGATCATTGCAGGACTGAATAGTTTGTAAATATAACTGACCAACTCCAATGATGCTACTGCATAACAGAAGCTATTTAGATCATATACTGATATGTTAAAATGAACCTTATTTGAGGCAATTCTATTATTGATATATAATGAAAATATCATCACTAAATATAGGTCACACCATACCAATGACCAACAAGTTTAATTTTATTTTATAAACTCCTTTCTAAAGATATAGTCTAGTATTTCCATCTCAGAGAACAAAATTAAGCAATTGCGTTTTAAGCACCTTGAAGGATTTGAGATTTAACCCTATTTGTAAGCTAACAAGTTAGCTGGCCACAGTTCCATGGATGCACAACTCCTGAGTTAGAGATGAAAGAGTCAGATGCAGAAAAGCACTCTGAGCATCAGCTTATTTGGGGCTGGTTTCCTGAGCCCCAATTCCCACAGGCCTAAGAGAAGTCAGGTTATATTTGCATACACCGTGGGTGGCGTTACAGGAGAGTAGCTCTGAGTTGAAGGAAACCAAATAAGCCTGCTTGCCCTTTGCTCAGGAAAGAGAGAGAGAGATACTATCTTCTAAAGCTCTAAGCAAACCTACCCTTCGTTCAGATGGAGGTACTATATCCAGCTGCCAAGGCTCTTCCAAGGCTGTTCACTATGCATACAGCCTTGAAAGGATAGTCTCGAAAAAAGGATAGCTAGTGCCTTGCTCATAAGACATGCAGAAACACAAGACCCCGGGAGAACTGTCTCTCCATATTGGTGATGGCTAAAACCTGTTTATACAGTTGATATAAGACATTTTCTTCAGTTAGAAACTGAATACTGAATACTGGTCTAAACTGAATTTTTCCTTTTTTTTTTTTTTTTTGAAATGGGAACCAAAAATTTTTAACAGTTCATATTGCATTCAGAATGCTTTTGAGAGTCGTAATCACATGAAGTCCTAGAAGGACCTTGAATACATATAGTGCATATATATGTAATACACATACATCAATATGGTTTGTTTTCCACCTCCCCCATTTAAAATGTAAATTCCCTGAGGATAATGACTTCGTGTGTGTGTATAATTTATTTTCTTATTCTGGTTCCTACATTACTTTGCACTACTTTAATTAATAAAGTGGTATAGGTCTGCCGTCCCTCTTCTTTCTCTTTGTCAACACCATCATCTTAAGAACAATAACTAAAAGTGTGTGCCTGTAATCTGAAGGTACTAATAGTCATCAAATATGACAATGTTTTCTTATCTTCAAGACCACCTATCCATAGAATCTAGGACAATGGCTCACACACAGTGGAGCTCAGTAAATATCTGTTGTTGCATTGAGTTAACCTGAACTCAGGACCCCATTCGACAGTCTGTAAGCCAAAAGTTGCTCTTGGTGACATGCTTGCTCAGTAACATGCTGTCCTTTGAAAATAGAAAACATTGCTTTTTCTCAAACCCGTAGACAGTCATCTCAAGCTCGAAGACTTCTGCTCATTTATGATGATTCTTGTGTACAGATGTATAAAACGGAGGGAACCATCATATGCATCTCCAGAAATGTGTGTTTTATTATGAGATGAGAAGGAAGTCAAGGAGCGCCTGTTTTTCCTTCCTCTGAGAACTGGTCCCACCCACGCCCCCACCCCACCCCGTGCTCATTTCCATCCTCTTCAACAGGAATTTAGCAGCCAGAGCTTATGGTCGAAATTCTATCCATATAAGTTCCTCCGGGGACTGAATCATCAGCACAATGCTTTGGAACCACTCTGGTCTTCTTTACCAAATTCAACCTTTCTGTCAACAACAAAATGTGGAAAGGACACAATGTTTCCGTACTCCTTCCACATCAAAAAATTACCTCCTACCGGAACTAGAAAATGTATGTCACTGTGAATTACCATCTGCTACAGCTCCTCGCCGCCGGGCAGCGCCGGGGTCTCGCACACAAAGGGTGAGAGCGGGGCGTGGGGAGGCTGCAAGGCGTCGCTGCTCCGCCCGGCCAGGCCATGTCCGCCCGAGCGGCCATCCCGGCAGTGGGGACCAGGAGCCGGCTCAACTTGGGGCTCGGGATATCTGAATGCCACGGAAACTGCGATCCTACCCAAACGAGTCAGGGAGAGAGCAGCCGAGGGCGTGCGCGAGCTGAGTGAGTGCTTACGTCGCAGCGAGATCTGTGCTGGGATAATTAGAGAGGAGTTAGGCTGAGCCGCGTCCTCTTTGAGCAGCGGCAGCCGCAGCCGCCGCCGCCGCCGCAGCAGCAGCCCGGAGGGGCGCGCCCGACTGCGGCCGCTGGGCAGCGCCCAGGGTGAGGCCCGCGCCCCGCAGCCGCCGCCCCGCCGCGCCCACGGTCCCGGCGGCTCCCGGCGCACAAAGGCGGCGGCTACCCGCGTGGCCTTCTCCATCCAGGCGTTCGATTCTGGCTCCCTTCCTTCTCCTCTCCCGAAGGCGAGAATGGCAGGGCCGGGCGAGAACCTGGGGCAACGGTGGCCCTAGCTCTGCTCCCCCCACCCCTCCTGCGGGGAGAGGAAGCGGGCTGCTCGCGGACGATGTGGTCAGGGCTGCTCCCCAGAGCGTCTTCTGCCCGGGTCCCAGCTGCCGTCCCTCTTCTCTGCTCGCTCCAACCCACCGAGAGGGGCTGATGCTGCTATCGCCGCCGCCGCCTCCGAAGCCGCGGCCGATGGATGCCAGGGAGGGCCGCCTTGCTTAGCGTCCCCGCCTCCGGGTTTGCTGGTAGGAGCCGGCTGCTCTTTCTTCTCTCTCGCTTTGGGGTATTATAGAAAAGGTTTTATCCTCCACTCCTTTTTCCCACCCTCTCCTCCCCCAACCCTGCCTTTGCAATGTACCTTCCCGGCGAGATCCCTCCCCCCAACCTCTCCGCAGCAAGTCCGTTGAAATAAAGGGCTAGAGGAAGACAGAAGTTGGGGGTGGGGTTGAGGGGGGAGCCCACGCTGGTGCCAACGCCACCAAAACCCCTTCTGGTGCCTTATGAGATCACGGTGCATCCAGGAGGGGAGGAGGGAAGGTGCGCTATCTGCAGAGCCTCCGCCTAACTGGATCCCAGTCATTTTAAATGGAATCCCACAAATGTCTTAGAAATAGCATCTTTGAATAAGTAGAAGGAGAAATAAGCTCCTTCCCCCCTCTTTCTCTTTCTCTCTTTTTCCTTCTGGCAAAGACGCTCTCTCCCCCGCCCTGAGCTCCGCGCTGAAGAGCCGCCTTATTATTAATCAGAATTTCCATCGTTATCCCTGGCAGGAGCATCCTTCAGTAGGGACCGCAGAAGCATCACAGTGCTGGGGCTGAGATGTGCATGGGGGCTGTTTCTGTTACATCTTGGAAGAGAAGAGGACAGCACCAAGATCAGCACCACCTGTGCGGGGTGCAGTTAGGGGTGTTTTGTTAGGAGAGAGAAAGGACAAGAAGAGGAGTGCTGGGCCGCCAGAGGTCCACATCTCTTTAAAGGAAAGGGACAAGGGAACTAAAGTGGGACATTGTTTTTAGGGGGTGGGCAAAGAAGTTTATATCCTCCATAGAAAAGGTGTGGGGAAGCAGGAGCAACAGGGTACTTGACTGGACACCAAGACAAATCATTTCCTGTAAAGAAGAGGAAGCAGGCAGCAGCGAGGTCTGGAGGCCGGTGTGTGGTAGTGACCAGGGCCAGCGGTGCAGTGGGACAGCCAGCAAGAGAAAGGCAGGGCTCAGGAACAAGCAGAACAATGACTCATTTACAGGCTGGTCTCTCTCCTGAGACCCTGGAGAAAGCCCGCCTGGAGCTCAATGAGAACCCAGACACACTGCACCAGGACATCCAGGAGGTGAGGGATATGGTCATCACCAGGCCGGACATTGGCTTTCTCCGCACAGATGATGCCTTCATCTTACGCTTCTTACGGGCCAGGAAGTTTCATCACTTCGAGGCTTTCCGCCTCCTGGCCCAGTACTTTGAGTACCGGCAGCAGAACCTGGACATGTTCAAAAGCTTCAAGGCCACTGATCCGGGCATCAAGCAGGCACTGAAGGATGGCTTCCCTGGGGGCCTAGCCAATCTGGACCACTATGGCAGGAAGATTCTAGTCCTTTTCGCTGCCAACTGGGATCAGAGCAGGTAAGTCCTAAATACGAACTTGTACTAGGGCTTCTTTTACTCTCCCATTTTCCAGAATTTATCTTGAGTAGTGTCATGGTTTTACAGCTTTGACATTACTGTTTATTTGGCTCGGGGTGGATGGGTGGGGTGGGTGGGAAGAGAAACTGGAACGAAGAAATGCGTTTTTGGTGGGCACCCTGGGGAGGTGGTGGGACTTTTATCTTTACCTTTGAAACTCTTACTTCACTAGCACCTGTTTTCTACTGCAGCGTTAGGTGCTTCATGAACCATATTATTGTGCTGTATAATCTCAATCATTCAGCTTCTAAATAAAGCTGCTAATTTTTTCAACTCCTAAATAAGTTTACTGTTCTGTGGAGAAATGAGTATGAGAATGGAGACAACTTTCCCTCCTTCCTCCTAAAGAAATTCTTTTTTTTTTTTTTTCCTGAAGAAATTCTTAAACTGGATTCATCACCATCATCGTCCTCCACCACTTCCCCCCACCCTCTCTTTAGTACTGCGGTTTTATTTTTTTAAGACTACCCTGGCATTCAACCAAGATCAAGTAGTTTTATTGCTTGGAAACTTTTCTGCTTGGTGATGTGTAGATGAAGGAATAATATGATGTGTGTCACTTCAATAAAAAGGAAGAGTTGTCCCCTCTGTTGCTGAGCATGCCGCCGACCCTGAAAATAAAGGCTGACTTGTGTGCTTATTCTACACCTGTCACTAATCTAAAGAATGTGTTTCCTGTCTGATGTGATTTTTCATCATTTGGAAGGAAGTGAAAAATGTTCAGATCTGTCAGTTGGTAGACTTTTTGAGCTCTCTGGCTTTTTAATGGAGGAGAACTAATATTCTTCCTTCATCTACATTACAATAGAAAAAAACAGACAATGACTCTTCTACTTCCTCAGTTGGAGGAATTATTTTCTCAGATTGAAAGATATAAGAAATTATAAAAGACCTTTGTGTAAGGTAGTTTCAATTAAGTTTGAAGTTAAATAAATGTCATGGAACTTAAAAGCGTTACCAGAATTATGAATCATAAGAAGCTTGTTGTTAAAACATCGCTGTATTTTTAGTGCGGTGAATGGTGATTTTTGATGCATCTGGTTAGTTTAAACCATCTCTGGAGCAACTTTAAAAGACTTTTACAGTTACTGAGAAATCTTATGGATCTTATAGGTCTCCAGATAGGCTTCTCAGAGTCTTGGGATTTTAGAATGCAAATTAATATTTTTAACAGACGTTTAACCCTTCAGTTGGTCTCCTTTTCCCTGTAATTCTACGTTGAGAACTACAATTATTTTTTAGGTAAATATAAAGATAAACTACTACCTGAAGAATCATAAAGCTAAGAAACTCATAGACTTAGCCATTGAGGGGAATGGAGCTCTCTTTCTGTCTCTTATTTTGGTTAATTATAGAGATTTTACTGTACTCTTTATCAGGTAGCAAAGTTTAAAGGCTCATGAAATGCCATCCTTTGACCACAATTTCTCTTTTAAAAGTTTTTATTTCATCTAAGAAGTACATTGTAGGGTTATGCAAACCAATTATTGTGTATATCAAAGCAGAAAAATTTTATTCAAGAAAGAACCTAGTATTTCATGAGTTAGACTGGAACTTAGTTTATTGAGTTGCCATGAAATGAGTGCTATGGAAATTGTATATTTAAATATGTCTCAAAGTTTGTTAAAGATATCATTAGGGAAGCAGATTGCCCTTAGGGAGACATGAACATACATCAAACCTATTTTCATTTATTTCTATAAGTGAGCTAATATTGACATTGATTTATAAACCTAATTAAGATGAAAGCCTCTTGTAGTTCTCATGTATGTGGAAAGGTGATTATTTTGGACTTACTAAACAAACTGTGTTTTAGTTGTCTATCTCATGTTTTCATGTAAAGGCTAAGTTACTAGTAATCAAAATATATCTCCCTGGAAATCTACAATGGGAGGGGACTTATTAATTGATATGTAGAACTTTTTTTTTAAATCTACACAAAATCTTAAATATTAAAACTTTGTACATGTGACATTAAAAATGAAAAGCCATGTCCTGTAAAAATACCTTACAGGGCCTATAGACTAATAATTGTGAATTCAATTTCTGTGGTTGGAAATGAACAGGCATGATCAAGAAGTTTTAGTACTTCAAGATCAAAAGGTATACAATTTATTTGGAGCTTATCTAAAATTCAGTTGAGTTTCTTCCTCCTATATATTTTTTAAAAAGTCCCTCCCTCCTTTTCCCTGCCTGCACCCCCCTATCCCATATCTACATGTACATATACAAGGACTAGTGGATAAGCAGGTCCCCCCTCTTGGCATCCTCTGTAAACCTTTATCCTTGGGAGATGTGCCTAAGAACTGTCTCTGCCCTGCTCTGAAACCAGCAGGACAACTGCCTTTCTGACAGTGCCCAGAGTGTCACCAGCTCTTTTCCTGCCTTTGGCCTGAATCCCCTTCCTTCCTCCACTGTACATTTTCAAGGCTTATCTGACTTGACTCCTACAGAAGTCTCTGCCACCTTCCCTAGGTGTTTACCTTACGATTGCTCTGTTAGCTGGATATGCCATGTGCCAAATTCTTTTACTCCTCATCCCTCCCCTGTTCTGTGAGTGAGGTGTTCTCACTTTCCTGCTCTGATCCCACCAGTCCAAACAACCTGGGTCCCTGTAGAAGACTGCACATCTGAACATAATTCTAACCACCTTCTAGAGCTGTTCAGTGAATTACCTGGCTTTCAACAACTAAAAAAAAAAACAAAAAAAAACCAAAAAAAACCACAAAACACTATTAAAAGAGACAAAATAGGGCTTCCGTGGTGGCGCAGTGGTTGAGAGTCCGCCTGCCAATGCAGGAGACACGGGTTCGTGCCCTGGTCCGGGAAGATCCCACCTGCCGCGGAGCGGCTGGGCCCGTGAGCCATGGCCACTGAGCCTGCATGTCCGGAGCCTGTGCTCCGCAACGGGAGAGGCCACAACGGTGAGAGGCCCGCGTACCGCAAAAAAAAAAAAAAAAAAAAAAAGAGACACATAACATTGTTTTAAAGAAAGAATAGGTGGGAATTGTCCAGGATTGCACAGGGAAATTCCAGAAATGAGGTAGAAGAAAATGTCCCCCTTTATTTGGATAACAGGTTATTTCCAACTTCCCAAAGGGAATATCAAGATTTTTTGTGAATTTTGAAAAACTTTGTAAAGAGTTTTGTGTAACAAAAAAATACTAAGCCTCATGTTATTATAACAGCACCTGAACTAGAGTTAATGTTCAGTAAATGTTTGTTGAGTTGAATTGAGTTATGCATTTTTTTAAAAAAGAATTCTAAGCAGGAAGTTATCTATATATACTTTCTCCTATATTGAATTTTTAGGACAGTTTTCTGTGCTTCTCAGGAGACTGGAAACAGTAAATGTGTGTGAGATGGTGACTATAAATAAAATAGTGTCTCTTCCTATTGCAGTATAGTGCAGGTCAGTTTCAGGTAATTGCAAGTAACTGGACCGTTTCCAAAGCCTTTACAAGAAATATGGAATCTTCAGGAGACTGAGGTATAATATTTACAGTGTACCTACCTTGTAATACAGCTAAAAAAATATTTGAAATACTGAAATGTCAAAATGACTTTCAGTGTGGTCTGTGGTTCTTTTATAAAAAAACAGAACAGGTTTCAGATGATTTGTTACGTTTATTGAGCAGGCTATCCTTGGCAAAGATTCACACAATTTTATCTTTTTTTTTTTTTTCAAATCGTCTAACATAATTTCTGAAAACAAAAGTAAATTCCACAAAATTAAAAACAAATGGATTCTATTTACTGTGATGCAGTAGTCTTCCATATATTACATGCTATCTTGCTTTCCTGAGTGACAGTGCCCTGCTTAGGACTCAGCAGATACCTTCAAATTGTCCACCTGATTTCATCAACAGAGTGTGATGATAATGTACCGAGAAGCTAGAATAGATTATACTACCTTAAGAAAAGGAAGTTTGGAACGGAAGTAGATTGTGGTCTAGACCCTAGGGCGTGAGAGCAGGTATCTGAGAAGTCGAAATTCACTGGCATGTAATTATTGGGAATATTCATGAGTAAACTGTGTTACCTGAAACATAATGATGACATGTATTCTGATATGTGGCCTGTAATTTGTCAGTTAGCCTGCAAGTAATATTTTACCTTCTTAGACTTATAAATGACATCTCTCTACTTAGTACCACAAACAACCAATTGTAAACAAACAATTTATCTGGAATCTGATTAACAGCCATTAGAAAACAATTAAATACAGCCAAGTTAAAATGATTCTAATATAGTGGCAATTCAGAAAGCACTGACCGTCTTGTACCATGTTTGGCTTATCATAATGGACATTGATTATCACTTATAGTACTGAAACTCTGAAAGGGCTCAAAGACTGATTGGTGAGACAATGTTATGATCCTCTAACTTATTCTGGAATTTGCCTAAAACATGTACTGTTGTCAGTTTGTTCGTTCCTATTGTGTGGCTTTTTCATACAAAGGAAAATATTATACAAATGGCCAGCTATTTGAAGCTTCAGTTTTAATTATGACTATGCTCTCATTTATTAAAATAATGTAGCCAGTCTTCAAATGAAAGAAGGTTATGATGATGGTAGCTTAAAAGTTTTTAAAAATAGCCATAGACTATACATATTTGCTTTACTCTCAGCCACAAAGCTTTACTCTTCTGTGGAAGTGCACTAAAATAAAATAAAATAAAATATAAAATAAAATAAAATGATTAGAAATAGATTAAAACAGACAAGGGCAATTAACTAGTTAATTAGGGAGAAACACTCTTACTTGATAATTTTAAAAACAAAAAACAAGCCAAAAAAGAGGCTTAATTTTTTTGGACTGATTTTTCAAGTCTTCTTGGCTCTGTTTATTAAAATATTTAAATATTTCTCAACTTTTTGTTTCTTGGTGTCATATATCCTGGCAGGGTCAGGAATCCTTACCTTCGAAAGCCTAGAG